AGACAACTTGGCGAGTCCGCATCTCTACAATAAATCAAAAAATCAGCCGGGTGTGTTAGCGCCTGCCTGTAGTTCCGGGTACTCGGAAGGCTGAGGCGGAAGGATCGCCGGAGCCCAGCGGGTCGAGGCTGCGGTGGCCGGGAGCGGCCGCTGCGCTCCAGTCTGGGCGACGGAGTGAGACTCCAACTCAAAAAAAAAAAAAAGCTGCTGAACACTTAGCTAAGTGTGGACAGGCGCCCTTGTAAATCCCTCATCGTGAAATATGCAAGCGTGTCGAAAGAATCTCCAGGGCAAGAAGTTCACCGAAGTCGAACACAGCCTCTCCCAGCAAGCTGGAGCTCTGATGCCGATGGGCTAGAACACTTGCCCAGAGGGCAGCCTGCACTACCAGGGACCAGCCCTTCAAAAGACGATTCCATTTTCGGGGGGAGGCCCCCTCGTGCATGACTTTGCCTTTCATAATAACCCTGTGAAGTAGACAGTGGAGGCCTCATGCCCCATTTTGCAGAGAAAGTCTGAACTGCCCAAGGTCCCGGGGTTAGCCCGGATCGTCCTGACCAGACCCGTTAAACCCCAGACAAAGTCACCTTCTCCCGCAGCTTCTGTTCCTTGCGCTCCTGCACCGTGGTCAGGTAGTTGACGGCCGCGTACTCCAGCACCGAGAGGAACACGAACACGAAGCTGACCCAGAGGTAGATGTCCACGGCCTTGATGTAGGAGACCCGGGGCATGGAGGCGTTCACGCCCGTGATGATGGTGGACATGGTCAGCACCGTGGTGATACCTGCAGACACGGGCAAGCAGTGAGCACTTGTCTTCCACCAGACATGGGACGGCTTCTTGTCTCTGCTTCTCTGTCCCCACTGCTCCTTCGATGCGGAACGCCTCCGTCCCTGTCCCTCTCTCTAGCAGACACCTACGCATCTGCCAAGATTCGGCTTTTAGGAAGCTTTTCCCGTCCCTCGACCTTCACCCTCATCCTTTCCCCGGTGTATGCCCTGTGTTTTCATTGGAGCATCTGTGTCGTTCTAGCCTTCTGCAGAGAAGCCCAGATGTTATTGGCATTGAGACATTTATTTCAGTTTTTCTTAGACTAGAAAATATAGTTTCTTTTTTCTTTTTTCTTTTTTTTGACGTGGAGTCTCACTCCGTCGCCCAGGCTGGAGTGCAGTGGTAACGCTCACGGCCACCACAGCCTCGACCTGCTGGGCTCCAGCGATCCTTCCGCCTCAGCCTTCCAAGAAGCCAAAACTATTTGGGGTGTGCTACAGCACCCGGCTAATTTTTGATTTATTGTAGAGACGAGGTCTTGCCAAGTTGTCCGGGCTTGTCTGGAACCTGCGGGCTCAGGCAATCCCCTCGCCTCAGCCTCCCAAAGTGCTGGGATTAAAGGCTGAGCCACCGAGCCCCGTCTCAAATTTTTAAAAATAAGAGATTGGCCAGCTGCGGTGGCTCAAGCCTATAATCCCAGCGCTTTGGGATGCTGAGGCGAGAGGATTGTCTGAGCCCAAGGGTTCGAGACCAACCTGGGCAAATTGGCGAGACTTCCTCTCTACAATAAACCAAAAACTTAGCCGGGTGTGGTGGTGCGCGCCTGTAGCTCCAGCTACTTGCAAGACTGAGGCAGAAGAATCGCCTGAGATCAGCAGGTCCAGGCTGCGGTGGCCATGGGGCAACAGTGAGACTCCAACTCAAAAAAGAAAACAAGAGAGATTGCATATATGAGACAGTATATATGTATCTTTAAAAAAAAATAACAGACATGGGGTCTTGCTATGTTACCCAGGCTGGGCTCGAATTCCTGGCCTCAAGCCATCTTCCTGCCTTGGCCTTCAAAAGTGGCTACAGGCAGGAGCCACCGTGCCTGGACTACATATGTCTCTTATAACTCCTGCTCCACCAAGAGAAAAAAGTGCACAAGGTTTATTTTAATATTGTGTCCTTGCTCTGTTGTGGAGTCCTGTACTCCGAGACCTGTGTTAACAGCTGCCACCGCGTTTGGACGGGGCTGCCCACTCGACATGTCCTTTGAGGACTCAGAGGTCTGTGTCGCTAAGGACGACACTGTTAACTTCAGCTGGAGGAGACAGATTTTAAAACTGGAATGTAGATTTATGTAGCACAGTAACTGTTCAAGCTCCAGAACAACTGTTCGAGGGCAGGGCATCTGTCCATGGAAATGTGCCCAGGATTTCAAATTAAGCTCAGAACATTTGTCTGGCAAACGTCAAACCACAGGGGATTGGGGTCATCCCAAGGGCCGGCTCCAATCCAGTTTCACTAAAACCTGGCGGGTCGCACTCTGCCTGCCGTGCAGCCCCTGAACCGTCGAAGCCACGGTGGCGAGTCTGGTGAAGTGGGCAAAACGTTTAAAGTGAGAAAAAGAGTCGACGGCAAGTAGCCACGAGGGACGTTTACAGGGCAGGGCTCAGGCTTGGGGTGTGAGACGGACCGGGAAGCCTGTTAAAAAATGCAACCATGAACGCAGAATTAGGAGCTTCACAGCAACTGGGATGGAGTGAGCGTCCGTCACACTCAGTGATCTGTTGCAGAAACAAAGAACTGAGCGCCACGTTCTCACTCATAAGTGGGTCCCGAACATTTATCAGAATACCACAAGAGAGGGATGGGCAGTAGTGGGCACTGGGGGTTGAGGGTGGTGTGAGAGGGCGGGGAAGACACGTAGCATCACTCGGGGCACCTGATCCTAAGCCAGGGGAAGTGAGGACCCGTGAGAGGCCCAGATTTCACCTGCACGTGGGCCACTTTTGTATCTAAACCTGACTTGTACCCTTAAAATAAAATAAAGAATTTTTTCTTAATGCGGGTGCTTGGTCCTCAGAGATTCGTCTTCATCTTTAAAATTTTTTTTTAATTTTAATTTTTTCTACTTTTTTGAGACGGGGTCTCACTCTGTCACCCAGGCTGAGTGCAGGGGCACAATCACGGCTCACTGCAGCCTCAACCTCCTGGGCTCAGGTGATTCTTTCCCCTCGGCCTCCCAGGTAGTTGGGACAACAGGTGCATGCCACCACACTTGGATAATTTTTTAGTTTTTGTAGCGAGGAGTTCTCGCCATGCTGTCTAGGCTGGTCTCAAACTCCCGGGCTCAAGGGGTCCTCCCACCTTGGCCTCCCAAAATGCTGGGATTACAGGCATGAGCCACCACACCCAGTTGGGACTCTTCACTTTTACCAGTTTAGAGATTCTACCACAAAGATCCCTTGGGCCACCCTTTAGAAACCTGGCTGTGAAATAAGACTCATTCAGCAGTGAGGAGCAGAGAAAGCACCTAAGACCAGCATAACACTGCCCCCGGCCACACACACACCAGAATGCGGCTCTAACAGGGCCAAAGCTGGGCTGTTTGAGAAACTGGCGGTCCTGGAGACGGAAACGGTTTTGCTACCTAGATTCTTTTTTCTTTTCCTTTTTTTGTTTTTTTGTTTTTGTTTTGGAGAGACAGAGTCTCTCTGTGTTGCCCAGGCTGGTCTCAAACTCTTAGCCTTAAGCAGTCCTCCCGCCTCAGCCTCCCAAAATGTGGGGATTGCAGGTATGAGCCACCACTGCCACCCGGATTCTTAATTGTGGAGTTTTACCTGCAAATAAATAACCTGGAGTTTTTCCAAGCTATAATGCCCAAAGGGGTATAGGACCAATTTAAAAATAATGGTTTTTGGCCAGACGTGGTAGCTCACCCCTGTGATCCCAGCACTTTGGGAGGCCAAGGCGGGAGAACTGCTTGAGTCCAGGAGTTTGAGACCAGCCTGGGCAACGTAGCGAAAAAACAAAAAATTTTTAAAAGATTGGCCAGGTATGGCAGTGCACCCGCCTGTAGTCCCAGTTACTCAAGAGGCTGAGATGGAAGGATCACCTGGGCCCAGGAGGTCGAGGCTGTGGTGAGCTTCTGTACTCCAGCCTGAGCAACAGAGTGAGACTCCAATTCAAAAAAAAAAAAAAAGAATGACTTGCATTCTCAGATGCTTGGAACATGCGCTCGAAATACTCCTTACCTAAGGGGACTCTGGCGGGCACAGCTCTGCGGTCGATCCAGAAGGACACCCAGGACAGCATGACCATCAGGGTAGCGGGGAAATAGGTTTGGAGCAAGAAGAAGAAGATGTGGCGACGTAACGTGAAGTTGATGTACAGACGGTTGTACCAGCCTGGGGGACACAGGGAGGAGACACAGCACAGGTCGCAGCTACTCAGCTCCGTCATCAAACAGATTGCATTTGGGGAGTCATAAAAGCTTTAGACACTCCTTCAGCATCTTAGAGTTCATAAATGAGGTGGAAGTGAGAAAAAACACGGGACAAAGGGAGGACATGCCAATCCACGCCAGCTCAAGGACTCTTCAGCCCCTGGCCGATACGTGAATGGAACCCCTTGAGAAGATCGTTTAAACTCTCGTTACCGAGATGGGGTAGAGGCCCCAGCAGCCCCCATCACCTGGAGCTTGTTAGAGATGCAGACTCCTAGGCCAGGCATGGTGGCTCACGCCGGTAATTCCTGCACTCTGGGAGGCGGAGGCAGGAGGATTGCTTGAGCCCAAGAGTTGGAGACCAGCCTGGGCAACATAGCGAGACCTTGTCTCTACGACAAAGCAAAACAATTAGCCGGGCATGGTGGCACATGCCTGTAGTCCCAGCTGCCCGAGAGGCTGAGGCAGAAGGAGCGCCTGAGCCTGGAAGGCCGAAGCTGCAGTGAGTCGTGATCGTGCCACTGCACTCCAGTCTGAGCAGCAGAGTTGGACTCTGATTCTATAAATAAATATGCGGACTCTTGGGCCCCACCCCAGATCTACTGAGTCAGAATCTCCATTGAACAATCTTTCCCATGTGATTAGCATGCAAAGTTTGAGAATTCCCTATTTATTTATTTGTTTGTTTGTTTGTTTGTTTTTTGAGTCAGAGTCTCACTCTGTCGCCCAGACTGGAGTGCAGTGGCCGCTCCCGGCCACCGCAGCCTCGACCTGCCGGGCTCCGGCGATCCTCCCGCCTCCGCCTTCCGAGTAGCCGGAATTACAGGTGCGCGCTACCATGCCCGGCTGATTTTTTGATTTATTGTAGAGATGAGGTCTCGCTGCCCAGGCGGGTCTCGAACCCGCGGGCTCAGGCCATCCACTCACCTCAGCCTCCCAAGGCGCGGGATTACAGGCTGAGCCACCGAGCTCGGCTTATTACTTATTTTTTTGAGTTAGAGTCTCACTCTGTCACCCAGGCTGGAGTGCAGTGGCTGCTGCCGGCCACTGCAGCCTCGACCCGCGGGGCTCTGGCGATCCTTCCGCCTCAGCCTTCCAAGTAGCCAGAACTACAGGCGCGCGCTACCACGCCCAGCTAATTTTTGATTTTATTGTAGAGATGAGGTCTCACCAAGTTGCCCAGGCGGGTCTCGAACCCGCGGGCTCAGGCAAGAGAATTCCCAATTTAAACAACTCCCTCTGGATTTCTTTATGGGGAGAAATGTGTTTTAAGTGAAAACATAAAGCCAGACACAACGTTGTATTTAGGATCAGGACAAACGATCACAGGCCCAGCTGTGTTTTCGCTTTGCCCTTGTGTTCTTTCTGAGGAAAACGCACTTATGGAGGCGTTGAAGCGGAGGAGAGGATGACGGACGGAAGAGGAAAATGCAGGATAAGCTTGAGACGCCAAGGACTGAAAGGAAAACTGGGACTTGGTAACATTAACTGGGGAACTTGGCACCCGGGTAATTACAACGCATGGGCCATGCCTCTTGGTACCAGCAAGCACTGTGGAGGGACTGTCAGAATGTAGAGGGACAGAAGAACCAGGGTCCCTCCGGAAGAATCGAGGCTTTGGGAGGATTGGACACCTGAGGGGAGGTGTGCTGGACTGCAGTGCTGGGTTGGAAGTGCTACAAGGCGCGCTCTCTCTTTTAGGGTAGAAAGCCTGCAGGGCACTTAAAAGGCCGGACTGCTCTATCTAGTCAATTGTGCGAGGATTAGCAACAGAAACTGTGTGAGCCGGACCGCTTGTCCAGCACTGAGAAAGACCGAAAGAAAAGAGAAAACAAAAAGAGGGAAAGAAAACAGGGATCCTGGCCGGACGTGGTGTTTCAAGCCAGTAATCACAGCACTTAGCGAGGCCAAGGTGAGAGGATGGCCTAAACCTGCGGGTTCGAGACCCACCTGGGCCACTTGGCGAGACCTCATCTCTACAATACATCAAAAAATTAGCCGGGCGTGGTAGTGCACGCCTGCCGTTCCGGCTACTCGGAAGGCTGAGGCGCAAGGGTCGCTGGAGCCCAGTGGGTCAGCGCTGGGGTGGCTGTGAGCGTGCCCCTGCACTCCAGTCTGGGCGACAGAGACTCCAACTTAAAAAAAGAAAAGAAAAGAAAGATCCCGCATGAGGACTTGAGCACAGTCCTCTCGAAAGGCGACTGGTCAAAAAAGCAAGGTAGGCCAGTTTTCTCAATTGCTCATTCACAGTCACAGAGTGAACTTTCTTGTTCTAATCTTCCCCCCACTTCTTTTTTTTGAGCCAGAGTCTCTGTTGCCCAGGCTGGGGTGCAGTGGCACAATCAAGGCACACCACAACCTTGCCCTCCCGGGCTCAGGCAATCCTTCCACCTCAACCTCCTGAGTAGCTGGGACTACAAGTGTGTGCCACCACACCTGGCTAACTTTTTTTTTAATTGGAGTCTCACTCTGTCACCCAGGCTGGAGTAAAGTGGCACACTCACGGCCACCTCAGCCTCGACCTGCTGGACTCAGGCAATCCTTCCCCTTCAGCCGGAATTCCAAGTAGCTAGAACTACAGGCACACACCACCACGCCTGGCTAGTTTATTTATTTATTTATTTATTGTGGAGACGAGGTCTCACCAACTTGCCCAGGCTGGTCTCTAGGACTCAGGAAATCCTCTCACCTCGGCCTCCCAAAGTACTGGGATTACAGGTTTAAGCCACCGTGCCCGGCCTTAACTTTTGTGTTATTAGTAGAGATGAGGTTTTGCTAGGCTGGCCTTGAACTCCAAGGCTCAGGCGATCCTCCTGCCTCAGCCTCCCAAAGTGCTGGGATTACAGGTATGAGCCACTGCACCGGCCAAATCTTTCCACACTTCTCACTACTGCACTAGACTAGTCTTGAGAGAGAGAGAGAGAGAGAGAGAGAGAGAGAGGCAAAGGATGGAACAAGTTAACCTCAGCTCTTTGAGTAGCACAGGGAGGCTCCCAGGAGGAAGGCCACAGAGGAGGCCCTTTGGCAAGGGGAGGCGGGTGAGCCTGTCAGACCCCTGGCTCAAATGGCAACAACAGGGCCCCACAGGGGAATGACCAGGGATTCCTGCACTGAGAGTGGGAAGACAGTCCCAAGGAACAGCTGTGCAGCAGAGGGGCTCGGCGAAGGTGGGGCAGCCCAGGGCCTGGCTGGAGCGGGAAGAACACGAACAGAAACCAAGCCATCTGAAGCTGAACTTGGTTCCCTCTGCAGAGACTTGGGCTCCAACCCGAGGCGCTTAGCAGGGCTGCGACACCACTCCCAGGCTGGCCGCGTGATGGCCTTCAGGAAACTCCTCGCACAGCTTATGACTGAGTCCCCGCTCATACCTTGCGGGTCGTTTCTTCTGATGTGTCAGTGGGGTCACCTCCACCCCAGGGGCCCACCCACTAGACTCCATTTGGGACTCCTGTCTCGGGTTTCAAAGACAAAGGGCCCTGCTCACTGGACAACCACGGCACACCTTTCCTATGGTAGAGGATGAGCCTTTGCAGCCACGCGGACACCCGCCCAGCCCCCAGCCCATGTCACCTGTGCTGCTGTAGAAAGCCAGCTTGGTGGTGGTGTGGAATTCCTGAATGAGGAACTGGGACAGTGAGATGCGCTCGTCCGTCTTGAGGGAGTCGTTGCCTTTTTTCCAGTACAGCATGAGGTCGTCTTCCGTGTAGGCATCTGAAAGGACAGCGGGGTGGGCATCAGACACCAGGCAGTGGCCAGACAGGATTGTCTGTGGGGCCGCTGGAAGCCATCGGTCCCGACCCTCGCACAAGTTATGGGATTTCAGTAGGGTCATGTAAATGGAAGGACAAAAGACCAAAATGGAATCAATGCAGCCATTTTAACACTGCATAATTCTGTCTTGTTTTTCTTTTTCTTTTTTTTTTTTTTGAGTTGGAGTCTTGTTTTTCTAGCAGCTCACTTTAATTTACCCTCTAATCACTAGTCAAGGACAGAACTGGTATCCCAGAAACAACTATGAATAATTCTCCCAGCTGGGCACGGTGGCTCACACCTGTAATCTCAGATCCCAGCACTTTGGGAGGCGGAGGCGAGAGGACTGCCTGAGTCCAGGGGTTCAAGACCAGACTGGGCAACTTGGTGAGACCTCATCTCTACAATAAATCAAAAATTAGCCGGGCGTGGTAGAGTGCGCTTATAGTTCCGGCTACTTGGAAGGACGAGGTGGAAGGCTCGCCGGAGCCCAGCAGGTGGAGCCTACGCTGGCTGTGAGCGTGTCGCTGAACTCCAGCCTGGGTGACAGAGCGAGACTCCAAAAAAAACCCATCTCCCCAGTCTTCCAAAGTCATCAGAGCAAATGCTCATAATTTCTCCCAAAGGGCTCACCCTACAATTCAGCCTACCATTTATTAGGTTAAATCCAATGCACTCGCTATTTTTGTTGGGTCGAAGTGGTTAAATATCGGCACAATTTCACATGTTTCAGCCTTACAAACCCGGGGATCACTGGGCCCCTACCTTTCCTTTTTCAAAATGTAACAACTCATCAACTGACGACAAATGACTTTAAACACCGTCAGGTATCACAGGCTGCGTTCCAACCAGAAAGGCTCTGAAGGGATTCCACGATCACCACCCTCTCTGGAGCCACCGTCTCCTACACCCACCCCCACCTGCTTCAGGTGAGTCCACGTCTCACTCCAGCCGAACAGCCCTACCGCAGCCTGCGCGTAACTGAGGAAGAACCCCCTGGTGTTGCCAAGTCTGCTCCCGTGTAAGCAGTTCTTTCTGGGGCTCTCTGACACTGTTTTATTCCTGTTTTCTAACCCTTGTTCTGTGTGTGTGATGGTCAGTTTCATGTGTCAATTTGGCATGCTATAGTACTCAGTTATTCAATCAAATGCTAAGCTGTGAAGGTATTTGGTAGATGTGTCTAGTGTCTACAACCAGTGAATTTCAAGGTGTTATTCTGGCTGAGTGTGGTGGCTCATGCCTGTAATCCCAGCACTTTGGGAGGTCAAGACAGGAGGATCACTTGAGGCTAGGAGTTCAAGACCAGCCTGGGCAACATAGTGAGATCTCATCTCTACAAAAAAAATAGAAAAAAATAAGCCAAGCCTGGTAGCATGTGCCTGTAGTCCCAGCTACTCAGGAGGCTGAGACAGGAGGATCACTTGAGTCCAGGAGATTGAGGCTGCATTGAGCGGGGATCATATCACTGCACTCTAGCCTGGGTGACAGAGCAAAACCCTGTTTCAAAAAAAGAAAAGAAAAGAGGAGGTTACCCTGGCTTGTCTGTGTGGGCCTTATCCAACGAGGTGAAAGGCCTGGAGAGCGGATCGGAAGCTTCCTGGAAGAAGAGATTCCCCCTGTGCCCGCGGCATCAGTGCCTGCCCGAGGGTTTTGCAGCCTCCCCTCCTGAAGGCCTGGCTGGCAGATCTGGGACTCGCCTCGCCGGCCCTCACAATCCCTGAGCCAATTCCTGGCAAGCAACCTCTTACTCTCTATGCCCTGCTGCCTCTGTTTCTCTGGGGGAACCCTGGCCGAGGCAACCTGGAATAAAGGACGTTACACTTGGAGGCAGAAGCTGCCGGGGTGTTGTGGAGGAAGCCAGTGAATTTAGGATTTCAGTCTGGCTGTGTCCTGTCGCTCTGTGATGGGCAACCTTTTTTTTTTTTAATGTCTTTCTTCTTTTTTTAAGATATGAGATCTCACTATGTTGCCCAGGCTGGTCTCAAGCAATCCTCCAGCCTTGGCCTCCCAAAGTGCTGGGATTATAGGCATGAGCCACAGCACCCGTCCTGTCCTGGGCAGTCTGTGTCCCTTGTTTGTATGATGGCGACAGCTATCTTTTCACAGAAATCTTTCGAGGGACAGCTGATAAGGAGAGGTAAAGCCTTACTGACTTACTGTGTAGTAAGTAGTCATTCCCTTGGTCCTAGGTTTTACACCACCTTTTGCCACATTCAGTGCCCTACAGAGCTGTCCATCTGGCCCTGATGGTGGGCAACGTCAATATCCCTGCACCCTTTGGTCCCAGAGGATCAGGGCCAGTGGACATCGGAGCCCCTGCCACAAGCCCAGGCCTGCCTTCAAAGTGCCCAGGAGCAGTGGGATTCCTCACTAGGACTTAGACGCCACCTGGAAGAGCTAGGGTTTGGGAGGAGTGTGGAGGTCATGGGGGTGTCCCCTGTGCCAGGGAGAGCAAGTGTTTGGACAGAGAAGGGAAGGGAACAGATGTGTCGAGGGCTAAAGATGTGGATGACTAGTTTACACGGCCCCAGCCTGGCTCTTCCTGGGACCTAGTTTTTGTTGTGGGTTTTTTTTTGTGTGTGTGTGGTAAAACGCATATAACGTATCACTTACCATCTTTTTTTTTTTTTTTTTTTTTTTAGTCAGAGGCTCATTCTGTCCCCCAGGCTGGAGTGCAGTGTGCAATCATGGCTTACTGCAGCCTTGACCTTCTGGGTTCAGGCAATCCTTCTGCCTCAGCCTCTCAAGTAGCTGGGACTACAGGTGTGCACCACTATGCCCAGCTAATTTTTTTGATTTATTGTAGAGACGAGGTCTCTCCAAGTTTCCCAGACTGATCTCGAACCTCTGGGCTCAAGTAATCCTCTCATCTCAGCTTCCCAAAGTGCTGAGATGACAGGCATGAGCCACCGCACCTGGCCAGGGTTCCAGTTTCTTCACACCCTCACCAACACTGTTTCTGTGTTTTTGGATGGTAGCCACCTGATGGGTGTGCGGTGGTATCTCATGGTAGTTTTGTTTTGCATTTCCCTGGTGGTTAGTGATATCGAGCATCTTTTCATGTGCTTCTTGGCCATCTGTGTGTTTTCTTTGAAGAAAAATCTATTCAAGTCCTTTGCCCATTCTCTTAAGTGAGTTGTTCATTTTTGTGTTGTTGAGTTTTAATTGTTCTCCACATATTCTGAATATCAGTCCCATCTCAGATATATAAGGGCTGACAATTAAGTTCACTAAACTCATCCTAGAAAAAGGGCTACATACCTCATTGCTGAATATCACTACGGTCACCTTCGAAGTACTCCCTTGGGGAAGCTGTGCACCTACACCAGCAACTAGTCCACCCTTCAAAGCACTTTTTGAACTCTTTTCCTGGAATGGCCATCAGAGCTGTCGTCATATGACCCTTGATGTCCTGAATGCCATCAAAATGTCTTCCTTTCAGCATTTCCTTTATCTTCGGGTAAAGAAAAAAGTCATTGGGGGCCAGATCAGGTGAGGAGGGTGTTCCAACACAGTTATTTGTTTACTGGCTAAAAACTCCCTCACAGACAGTGCTGTGTGAGCTGGTGCCTTGTCGTGATGCAAGAGCTTCTCTGGGGCCATTTTTGCTCACGCCTTTCTCATGCCAAGATTTTCAAAGATTTTCCTGTTCCTGTATTGAAAGATTTTGTATTCAAAGATTTTCCTGTTCTTGTCTATTTGGTCTGCTATGTTTCTCACAGTCAGCTGATGATTGTGACACACAATTCCATGAAGTTTTCAATGTTTTCATCAGTTCTGCTTATTACTGCCCATCTTGACTTCTCTTCATTAGTGACGTTTTCTCTCCCCGCAGAAAAATGTTTAATCCATTTGTACTGCCATTTTCTTCAAGGCATTATCCCCATAAACTTGGACTGACATGTCCCTGACTTCACTTCCACTTTTGCCAAGTTTAACAAGAAATTTAATGTTTTTTTTTCTTGCTCTAATTCAAGCTCTGACATTCTTGCGACGATAGCTCTGATGACCATTCCAGAAAAAGAGTTCCAAGACTGCTCTGATGGGTGGACAAGGCAGTGGCATCGGTGCATAGCCTCCCAAAGGGGAGTACTTCAACGGTGACCATAGTGATATTCAGCAATAAGGGATGTAGCCCTTTTCCTAGGATGAGTTCATGAACTTAACTGTCAGAACTTGTATGATTTGCCAATATTTTCTCCCATTCTGTGGGTTGCCTTTTACTCTGCCGATTTTGTCTCTTGATGCACAAAATTTTAAAGTTCTCATGAAGTCCAATGTTCCTACTTTTTCATTCATGGCCTGTGCTATGGGGCCATGGGGACCGGTTCTTGACTCTCCCAGGATTCCATGTGTGTGCAAGTTTCCCACAGTCCCTTGGCTGTACCTGAAATCTCAACCCACATGAACCCGCAGTGGCATTTCCTGGGGCCACTGTTGCCACAGGTGTTTTTGCCAGGAAATTCTTCCTTTAGTGAAAATCATATTTAGAAGAGCAACAAAACAGATGAAAAATGACCTCTCTTGCTGGGCTCGGCGGCTTAGCCTGTAATCCCAGCACTTTGGGAGGTTGAGATGAGAGGATTGCCTGAGCCCACAGGTTCGAGAACAGCCCTGGGCAATTTGGCGAGACCTCATCTGTACAATAAATCAAAAAATTAGCCAGCGTGGTACTGCGTGCCTGTAGTTCTGACTGCTTGGAAGGCTGAGGCAGAAGGATCGCCAGAGCCCAGCAGGTTGATGGTGGGGTGGCTGTGAGGGTGCCACTGCACTCCAGCCTGGGCAATGGAGTGAGACTCTGACCCCCCCAAATGACCTCCCTGGATGAACTCTGTGTGTGTGTGTGTGTGTGTGTGTGTGTGTGTGTGTGTGTGTGTGTTGGGCCAAGGGGCTTGGAGACCCATATTTGTGGGGCCCTCTACCCACCTCCCGAAGCAATTGCCCTGGGAGCTCTAAAACCTCTAGGTTCCATAGAACAAAGTTTTTTGTTGTTGCTTTTTTGTTTTTGAGTTGGGTCTCACTAGGTCATCCAGGCTGGAGTACAGTGGCACGATCACGGCTACCACAGCCTCGACCTCCTGGGCTCAAGCAATCCTTCTGCCTCAGCCTCCCAAGTAGCTGGGACTATAGTCACCTGACATGACTAATTTTTTTTTTTTTTTTGAGTTGGAGTCTCGCTCTGTTGCCCAGACTGGAGTGCAGTGGCCGCTCCCGGCCACCGCACCTCGACCTGCTAGGCTCCGGCGATCCTTCCGCCTTCGCCTTGAGTTGCCGGAATTACAGGCGCGCTATCACACCCGGCTGATTTTTTGATTTATTGTAGAGATGAGGTCTCGCTGCCCAGGCGGGTCTCGAACCCGCGGGCTCAGGCAATGACTAATATTTTTTAATCTTTTTTTTAATTATTATTTTAAAGAGACAAGGTCTTGCTATGTTGCCCAGGCTGGTCTCAAACTCCTGGGCTCAAGCAATTCTCCCACCTGTGCCTCCCAAAGTGCTGGGATTATAGGCCTGAATCATCGCACCTGGCCCCATAGAACAAAGTTTAAAACCATGGCGACAGAGCATTACAAAGCTAAATTCTGGGAATAGAAGGCTTTAGTCCCAAATTTGCTCCTGGTTTTAATTACCCTAGACTTAGCTTCAGTCTAAAAAAATCACTTTTAAAAGCACTGTCATGAAGCAGGAACACATGCTGTTCCTGTGACTGAGAGTTAGAGGTGGTCAGAGTCACTGGGTCCGCGTGTTGATGCCTGGTCCAAGTCTACTCACAGCTTTCGATTTCCAGAGAGCACGTTTGTGTGTCCAGGGGAAACCGGCTGAAGTCCATGTTGCACATTGCAGTCACTGTAACCCTGGAACCAAAAAGACAAGACTCATATGTTCGTAGGCTGCAAAAGACAAGTGCAAGATGATAAAGCCAACAGAAAAGGCTTGCCCCCTTCCGACGTGACTGCCTCCTTCTCGTGACTTCCAAGCACATGTCAGGGTGGAGGCGAGTGACTTCCGTACACCCCTCGGAGCACCCCTAGTGTTATGCTGAACCCGTGGGTCAGTGTGAGGCAAGCAGATATCTGCTAACACACACATGCAAGTATTTCAAAGATGCAACGGTAGCCGGGCGTGGTGGCTCAGCCTGTCATCCCAGCACTTTGGGAGGCAGAGGCGAGAGGACTGCCTGAGCTCAGAGGTTTGAGATCCACCTGGGCAACTTGTCGAGATCTCATCTCTACAATAAATCAAAAAATTAGCTGGACGTGGTGGCATGTGCCTGTAGTTCCAGCTACTTAGAAGGCCAAGGCGGAAGGATCGCCGGAGCCCAGCAGGTTGAGGTTGCGGTGGCTGGGAGCGTGCTACTGTACTCCAGCCTGAGCGACGGAGTGAGACCCTGACTCCTTAAAAAAAAAAAGACCCAATGGTCTCAATCAATAGAACAATGAGACATTAGAACTTCCATGATATGAGTCCTTAAAAGAAGCCCTACGAGCATTATATTATTCTCTTATTTTAGATAAATTCAAGTTCTTATATTGATTTTATTGATATTCAGTATCACGTACAATACGATATACACTTATGCCTGCGGCCAAACTCAGTGCTTCTTTTTTCTTTTTCTTTTTTTATACAATGTTGATATTTGTATATTGATAATAGTATCTAGTATTTACTACTGGGCTTTTTATTTTTTTAGAGACAATCTCTTAAAGTGGTGCAGTCATAGCTCACTGCAACCTCAAACTCCTGGGCTCAATTAAGTCTCCTACCTCAGGTTCCCAGATAGCTAAGACAACAGGCACATGCCACTGTGTGGTTATTTTTTTAAAAAATTTATTTTGTAGGAACAAGTTCTCGCTATTTTGCCCAGGCTGGTCTCAAACTCCTGGCTTCAAGCGATCCTCCCACCTTGGCCTCCCAAAGTGGTGGGATTACAGGCGTGAGCCACTGTGCCCAGCCATATTTGTTTTTAGTGGATAATTCCTTGGAGATCATAGTAATGGGAAAACACTGAAAGATCTTATTATACTAACATGCAAGCACCTGATGGCATCAAATGGTTTTGTTTAACGGTTTACACAGGAAAACAGGCTTCTGCATCAAAGCACAAACAATCAAACACAGATTAGTCCTAAGTGAAAAGTTTCTCATCCAGTGGGGAATTTCATGGTAGGACGTGATTCACAGCCATTGGCTGGCACTGAACGTTTTATTTTTCCTTCAGCCACACACAAGATTGGCATGTATAAGCTGTGGAAGTGATCTGGATGGATTCATGGCCAAAAAGGGGAAAAAAAAAATCAGTGTTAATTTAAATGGAAATTTCCAAGGAAAGAGCATTCTTTTTTTTTTTTTGAGTTGGAGTCTCACTCTGTCACCCAGACTGGAGTGCAATGGCCGCTCCGGGCCACCACAGCCTTGACCTGCCGGGCTCCGGCGATCCTTCCGCCTCAGCCTTCCGAGTAGCCGGAACTACAGGCGCGCTACCACGCCCGGCTGATTTTTGATTTATTGTAGAGATGAGGTCTCGCCAAGTTGCCCGGGCGGGTCTCAAACCCGCGGGCTCAGGCAATCCACTCACCTCGGCCTCCCAAAGTGCTGGGATTACAGGCTGAGCCACCGAGCCCGGCTGAAAAGAGCATTCTTGAGATGGAATTGTCCAAACATTTGTCTCTGTTTTTCCACTTCTTGGACGAGAGGGTTGTCTGCAGCAAGGCATTTTGGATCGTCAGCAGCTGGGTAGTCTTATGTCCCTGGGAAACTCTGATGATGGGGGTGTAAGGAGGTGGGGGTCAGGTTGGCAACTGACTTGGACCCCAATGGGTGGGGTGGATTGTCATCATATGACTAATGGCATCACCAGCAGGAAAGCAGTTGGAACGCAGTTTGGGAACACTAGGAGCTAACGTTAAGGGCATGAAATGTCCAATGCAGGACATTTTTTGCTATGAACAAGAGGACGGAATATCTCTTCTCTTTTTATTAGTACAAGAACAGATGTTTTCAGACTCTCAGACATCATCAGACTGCGTCTTTCCACCCTGACAGGATGCTTTTCCACTCACAACCAATATGTAAAACAAGCATTTGTGATGTAATCCAAACCTATGCTTATTTTTGTTTCCCCAAGTCCCTTTAAATTAATTCATTGAGTCAGGCACGGTGGCTCACGCCTGTCATCCCAGCACTTTGGGAGGCGGAGGCAAGAAGATTGCCTGAACCCAGGGGTTTGGGATCAGCCTGGGCAACATGGTGAGACCTCGTTTCTGCAATTAAAAAAAAAAATTTAAAAATTAGTGGGGCATGGCGACATGCGCCTGTAGTTCCAGCTACTTGGAAGGCTGAAGGGGAAAGATCTCCTGAGCCCAGCAGGTTGAGGCTGCGGTGGCCGGGAGTGTGCGACAGAGCGAGACTTTGACTCAAAAAAAAAAAAAAAATTAATTCATGGGAAGGAATCTTCCCTTGCCCTGGATGGAAACTTGGTGAGACATGTGGCCCTGCTGCTTACTCTCATGTAATAGTCAAAACCCTCTCAAGTCAAACCTTCATTCAAAAAGTAAGAATTTCCGTCCAAGATTTTTTTTTTTTTTTTTAAATAGTAGAGATGAGGTCTCATTATGTTGCCCAGGCTGGTCTTGAACTCCTGGGCTCAAGCAGTCCTCCTGCCTCGGACTCCCCAACTGCTGGGATTCTAGGTGTGAGCCACCACACCCGGCCAGCCCGAGATGTTAATCAGTCTCAAACATCATTCCAGTTAAGGTGTCTGCTCCCCTGCTCAGCTAAGATACGAAGTTGGCATTCGCGGAGTCGGGTCTGTCCCTCTCGGATCACCTCCAGCACAGGTGGAAGTGAGGAGAGGAGGAGGCGAGGGCAGGGCAGTCCTCTGGCTGGGTGGCCTCGTACTCTCTAGACCTGCTAGCAGATGGAAGCTGGGGCTTTCCTTCCTGGGTTCTTCGCTCCCACAGCTGGGCGCCCTGGGCTGCAGGCTTCCATGCCCCACCCCCTCTGGGTTCACCCACATCCCCTCCACGGGCATTTGCCTATTCCCAGCAACCCTGGGGGTACAGACGGATCCCACCACGGCAGAGCTTCCGGCTCTGCCCCCGGTAGTCAGACAGCTCTCCCCCACCCCCACATCAACCACACAGTGTCCCGGCGGTAGGCACACCCCCCCCCCAAGCACTGCAAGTGGTCCCCAGGAAGGCCCCGTCACGTCACACCCACAAATCTCTCCCAAGAAAAAGCTCACACGTCTTTTCTTCCTCCCATCCTTGCTGACTTTTATGTCTTGAAGTTGACTAAAAGTTCAGAAGTCGTGGAATGGGGTTTTCAACATTTCCTTCGTAAAATCTACCAAGTGCTGCTTACTGGAACATGGCACTTGTGAATTTCACTTTTTTTTTTTTTGAGTCTGGGTCTCACTCTGTCGCCTAGGCTGTCGCCTAACCTGCAGTGGCACAATCACGGCTCACCGCAGCCTTGACTGCCTAGGCTCAGGTGATCCTTCTGCCTCAGCCTCCCAAGAAGCTGGGACTACTGGTACATGCTACCACGCCCGGCTAATTTTATTTATGTTTTTGGTAAAGACGGGATCTTGCTACGTTGCCAGGCTGATCTCAAACTGATGGGCTCAAGCAATTCGCCCCCTGTGGCCTCTCAAAATTCTGGGATTACAGGCACGAGCCATCATACCCAGCTGGAATTTCACTTTTTATTGTAGGTTGGTGCCTGGGAAACTTTGCTCCCACTGTCCAGGCCACCGTCCTGTTACCTGTGACCCTATCTCTCCACACATTGCGTTGTGTGCATACCCAACTTGCAGTGTAACCATGGGTTCCATGCCTGTCTCCTTCACTAGCCTGCAGTCACACTAAGGGCGGTGACCTCATATAACTTGTCTTTATGTCCCTGTAGCTTCAGACAGAACCTAGCAAGGCCTTTCATGCGCACAACTCCAGGGGTCACCCTGGCACCCAGAAGGCTATCCGTAAGAACCTGCTGAATTCATCAGTGAGTGAATGAAGTGAGAGGATGCTCTATTAGTATGTATTTTAGGATCTGACAATACCAAAGTTCTCCATGTTCTCCCTAAGTGAATTTTAAAGTGGTGATCCTCAGTAGCTTACACTTCTGCTTTTTTCCCCCTCACTCAAATCAAACAAACTCAAACATTTATTTGCCAGGAGAAATCAACTCCTTTGTTTTTAAGCACAGGGATGGAAAGGAGGCCTTCCCCGGTGGGTGAGGCTCACTGGGGATTTTGATTCCGAACACGCAAGGTGTTTACTCTCCTGTTTCCTGTTCTGCTTCTTGTGGTCACATCAGGTGGGGCGCGGGACTACATTTCCACTGGCTTTCAACAGCCAATCGCTAGATTTTCAGGAAGTGTGTGAGCTGATTGTTAAGCACAGTCATTATTAAAAATTAAAAATGGTCAGGCACTGTGGTTCATGCCTGTAATCCCAGCACTTTGGGAGGCTGAGATGGGAGGATTGCTTGAGCCCAGGAGTTCCAGACTAGCCTGGGCAATGTAGTAAGACCTCATCATTACAAAAAATTTTAAAAATTAGCGGGATGTGGTGGCATGTCCCTGGAGTTCCAGCTACTTAGGAGCCCTGAGCCCAGGAGGTCAAGGCTGCAGTGAGCTGTGATTGTGCCGCTGCACTCAACCTGGGTGACAGAGTGAGACTCCTGCCTCAAAAACAAACCTCGGTGGCTCAGCCTGTCATCCCAACTCAAAAAAAGAAAAAAAAAAACTCAGACAAACAAATAATAAATCGAACAAAAAAAAGTAACGGCTTCCGGTTCCAAAATGGCAGGGTAGAGGCAAGATGCCTCACTCTCCCCCGCCACAAAAAAACCAAAGCCCAATCCATAGCGCTCAGACGTTCCCCAGCAACAAGCCAGAGCTCAAGTATGAGCTATTAGTATGTATTAATTTTTTTGTTGAGTTGGAGTCTCCCTCTGTCGCCCAGACTGGAGTGCAGTGGCCGCTCCCGGCCACCGCAGCCTCGACCCGCTGGGCTCCGGCGATCCTTCCGCCTCAGCCTCCAAGTAGCCAGAATTACAGGTGCGTGCTACCACGCCCGGCTGATTTTTTGATTTATTGTAGAGATGAGGTCGCGCCGCCCAGGCGGGTCTCGAACCCGCGGGCTCAGGCAGTCCACTCACCTCAGCCTCCCAGAGGTGCGGGATGACAGGCTGAGCCACCGAGCCCAGCTAGTATGTATTATTAGGATGAGACAGACAGCTCCCGGGGCCACAGAGACGTGGACACGCCGAGCAGGTGGCGGGAGAGAAGACTTGCACCCCCGCCATTCCTCCCCACAGCCTGCCTGTCCCAAGGTGTGGAAGGTCTCCCTTCAAGTCGTGATTTCCACATGGGAAAAAGGGAGACTGGGTTGGTCAGCCAGCTTCCCGACGACCTTGGGTTCCCTGGCAGAAGATCTGTCTTTGCCTGAACCCACAGGAGGCATCGTGGCTGCCTGAAGAGAGAAATATCCTCGAGGACCAAGACAAAGGGGTGTTCAGGACTGCCAGCCCCAGCCTCGGAAACTCTGCTCTGTAACGCGGCCAAAGGAGAAGACACATCGCAGTAGCTGTTCAGCAGCACCATGCTGCAGGAAGTATGTCTGAGATCCCCTGGGCAGGAACCCATAGCCAGCCTTGCACCTTGCCCGGATAATCCCTTCAGGATCTCCGCCCCGTAGGACAGGCAGCACTCCTATCCTTTAGTAGCGCTGAGACGAACCTGGGCTTAATGCACCACCTAGAGCCAAAAAGGAGGCACAGCCTAGCAGCAAAGATTCACTAAGCAAACGTATTCAATAAAAAACAGAAAAGGCTGGGTGTGGTGGCTCACGCCTGAAATCCCAGCACTTTGGGAGGCCGAGGCGGGAGGATCACTTGAGCTCAGGAGTTTGAGACCAGCCAGGCACATAGTAAGACCTTGTCTCTACCAAAAAATAAATAAAAATTAACTGGGCATGGTAGCGTGCACCTATAGTTCCAGCTTCTTGGGAGACTGAGGAAGAAGGATCACCTGAACCCAGGAGGTTGAGTCTGTGGTGAGCTGTGATTGTGCCACTACACTCCAGCCTGGGTGACAGAGTAAGATCCCAACTCAAAAATTAAAACAAGCCAGAGAAAACTGGAATAAATAACATTCTTCAATGCAAAGATATAGATGCATACCCACAAGAAACTTCAACAATCAGGGATCCATGGCCTTCCCAAAAGGACAAAGCAAAAAATCCATTAACTGACCTTTACATGACCATGATTTGTGAACTTTTTGACCAATAATTCAAAATTTCACTGTCGCCCAGGCTGGAGTGCAGTTGGCATGCTCACGGCCACCACAGCCTCGACCTGCTGGGCTCAGGCAATCCTTCTGCGTCAGCCTTCCAAGTAGCTGGACCTACTGGTGCACGCCACCATGCCCTGCTAATTTTTTAATCTATTGCCAACTTGCCCGAGTTGGTCTCGAACCCCTGGGCTCAGGCAATCCTCTCGCCTCCACCTCCCAAAGTGCTGGGATTTCAAAGTAGCCCAGGGTCCTCACAGTTTTTCAAGTAGGAGATTGTGGAGAGAAAGGGTAGAAAGCATGCCTGTGGCTAGAGGGAGCAAAAGAAGTATTTTTAACTAAAGTTCTAAAATATACCCCAAAAAATGGGAATCAGAAATGTCGGAGGAGGTAAGTTCTTGAGAACGCAACCTCTCTCTGACTCCTACTAGAGAAAGAAACCTTTTTTATTATTGAATGTAACATTCAGAGTAGGGCATAAATCATAAATATCATCGTGAAATTTTTTCCCAAGTGTATTTTCTTCTCTCTCTCCTTTCTTTCTTGATTCAGGATCTCACTCTGTTGCCCAGGCTAAAGTGCAGTGGCACCATCACAGCTCACCGAAGCCTCAACCTCCTGGGCTCAGGTGATCCTCCCACCTCATCCTCCCGAGTAGCCAGCCCGGATAATTTTTTATTTTTTCGTAGAGATGAGGTCTCGGTATGTTGCCCAGGCTGGTCTCGAACCCGTGGGCTCAGGCAATCCTCTCACCTCGGCCTCCCAAAGTGCTGGGATGACAGGCGTGAGCCACTGCAGCTGCCCCCACCCCCTGTATTTTCAAATCGAATAATTCTTTGAAATGTCTACCTACGTGTAAAGTTTGTTCTCCTTGACGTTGAGAACTGGCAGCTACTGAAAAGTTGGAAGTCGGGAACTCGGAGCCGAGGCCTGACGCCCCTGTTTGCAGCCAGCGCCCTCCCTGGTGGAGACGAACGTCGGCCCTTGCTCCTACCTGAGGCTGTAGAGCACCTTCCCGTCGGGCTGGACGCGCAGCATGACGTTGTCCGTGGTGGTGTCGTGGATGAAGGAGCGCTTGGAGTGCACGAAAAACATGTCGGGGACCCAGATCTTCTTCACGAGCCGGCCGTCAAACGTCATGCTCAGGTTGTTGGTGCTGGGGAAAGACAGCCTCTCGTCCTTCCAGTAGTGCCGCAGGTAGAGGGTCATCGTGAAGTCCTGGGGAGGGCGGAGAGGGCACCCCAGCCCACACGAGCCCGCTGGGGTGTCGGCCGGAGGCTCTGGACCCCTGTGAGCCACCTCGTCGGGGATGACACTGAGCCCCGTGGAGGAAGGGAGCACTGCAGGGGAGCATCTCGCCAAGGGGCCGTAGCAGACAGTCTAAGAGTGTGCCCGAGTGCCTCCACACCCCTGATAGTTCATCACCGTGGCGGGGAGGGAGGCTGCAGCCCCCGACATTGGTGACTTGAGTCACAGGTGCCAGAGAGTTAATGCCTCAACCAGAGGGGGGTGGGGGGGGTGGGGGGGTTGAATAAGTGCCCAGGCTCCCAGGCGTTCAGGGATCGCTTGTGTGGGGCTCTTTGCTGACTCCCAAGTCTGCCAGTGGAACTGCGCTCTCCTGTGCTCACAGGTAGGATGCACAGCCCTCACGGCTTCCTTCCCTTCCCGCCTCCCTTCCCCACTCTGTTCCGGTGTTTCCTGTGATCATCTCTCAGATATATAACTTAGGCTAAAATGCTTGTCTCCGTTCTGCTTCTTGGACCCAAACTGGGATAAAGCCCTACAAAGTCCTGTAAGTCAAGGAGGTGTCGCACGTTGTATTTTTGATGTGAACCCACCGAAAGGGGAAAAAAGGAACCCTCTACTGCTTCTGTATCACCGCAGCCAGGCACAGAATACGCAGGAATAGGCTGTGCCTGGCCACTTGGCAGCTACAACCTTGGACCTGGCTGCTTATACAAAAAGTCCTCAAAACACGGACGAGTTCCATTCCAAGAGCATGTTTGTAAGTACAATTTGTTTCAAGTCCAACAAAGTTGGTCTAGGTACCCAAAGAACACCGTCAGCTGTATAGGACTGTATGTATTTAACAGGCTATACTGACGCCTGGTGGAGAGAAATAATACATAAAACAATGCCGGGGTGCATTGTTGATGTTCATAACTTGAAGGTTCGTATGTAGGGGACTGACTGCGTTGGAGAACCTTTGCCCAGAGGATGCATCCGGCCACGAGAGCCTGGGCACTGGGGGAGAGCGGGTTTTTCATACCAATTGGGTGGCTTTGGGCAGATCTCTCCGAGTCATCTGAAGAATAAGTGTGGGAATTCCCACCCACCCAGGGCAGCTGTGAGACCAGGTGCATTTAGGTGCATGGAGCTCCTGGCCCAAGACAGACCATGTGAATTCCCTGCCCACGGCGTGGTCAGAGAAGTTCTCACCATGTCGACCTCCGAGATGCTGTCCAAGCTCTCAACCTGCACGTCCACGCCAACAGGGATAGCAGGGCCTGGGGACAGGGTATAACAAGAGCATTCTTTCTTTTTATTTGAACTTTTGCTATGGAAGAAGTAGCCAGAAGGAGCATCTCTCCTGGAACCTCAATGTCACGTCAGATTTAGTGGTTTGGTCATGCCAACCTGAAGTCAAGCCGGAGATACAAGGATGGACTCATAGGCTGGCTCCTTGGAATATTCCAGAAAAAGTTGAAAAGAAAGTTTGATTTTTTTTTTGTCTGAATTACTCAGATGACTCTAAAATGATGAGATTAGTATATAGCATTCCTCCTTGGTTACACATGCTCATTTAAAGTGTTTTGTTTGTTTTTGAGTCAGAGTCTCACTCTGTTGCCCAAGCTGGAGGGCAGTGGCACAATCACTGCTCACCACAGCCTCGATGTCCTGGGCTCAGGCCATCCTTCTGCCTCAACCTGTTGAGTAGCTGGGACTATGGATGTGCACATTTTTTTAATTTATTTTTTAATTGTATAGAGACAAGGTCTTGCTATGTTGCCCAGGCTGGTCTCAAACTCCGGGCTCAAGCAATCCTCCCACCCCGGCCTTCCAAAGTGCTGGGATTGCAGGCGTGAGCCACTGCGCCTGGCCTCATCTAAAGTTTTGACAAAGCCCTAGGCCCAATAATGGATCTAAGAGGAACTGACTTCCTGGCATGAGGTCACCCACTTTATGTGCTATATTTACTGCCTGAGTTTGCTCCTAGTTGATCATAGAAAGCTGTGTCTCTTGTCTGACCACGAGGGAAGCATTTCCCGGTGACAGGCACCGAGACCCGAAGTCATCCTCTGGCCGTTTGCCAGACCCATGGATCTGCAGCTTTGCTAATAATGGTGTCACTCCCAGGGGAGATATGATGTACCAGGATGGCCTTAAGAGTGATTCTTTTGGCCAGGCTTGACAGCTCAGCCTGTAATCCCAGCGCTTTGGGAGGCCGAGGTGAGTGGATTGTCTGAGCCCGCGGGTTTGAGGCCCACCCAGGGAACTTGGCGAGACCTCGTCTCTACAATAAATCAAAACTTAGCTGGGCATGGTAGCACGTCCCTGTAGTAACAGCTAATTGGAAGGCTGAGGCGGAAGGATCGCCAGAGCCCAGCAGGTTGAGGCTGTGGTGGCCAGGAGGCATGCCACTGCCTGGCAGCCTGGGCGACAGAGTGAGGCTCCAACTCAAAAAAAAAAAAGAGTGTTTTTTTTGGGTCATTTCTAAACCATAAACACTTAATATTGATAAAGAGAAAGAAAGCACAATAGGCGAGGCATGGTAGCTCACACCTGTAATCTCAACACTTTGGTGGGAGGATCGCTTGAGCCCAGGAGTTCAAGACCATCCTGGACAACATTTTGAGATCTCATCTCCACAGAAAAATTTTTAAAAAAAGATTAGCTGGGCATGGTAGCACACGCTTTGTAGTCGCGGCTACTCAGGAGGCTGAGACAGAGGGATTGCGTGAACCCAGAGGTCGAGGCTGCAGTGAGCTGGGATCTTGCCGCTGCCTTCCAGCCTGGGTGACAGACTGAGGCCTCAGCAAAAGAAGAAAGGAAAGAAGGAAGGAAAGGAAGGAAGGAGGGAGGGAGGGAAGGAAGCAAGGAAGGAAAAGACAAAGCAAAAGAAAGACAAAGCAAACGGGCTCCAGCCCTTTCTCCTGATCTCAGGATGAGGGCGGGCACGGAGCACACCCGAATCATCGTGGAGTGGAAAGGTGGGTTGAGCCGGGCTGGGTGGCTCAGCCTGTCATCCCACGCCCTTGGGAGGCTGAGGTGAGTGGATGGCCTGAGCCCGCAGGTTCGAGACCCGCCTGGGCAGCGAGATCTCATCTCTGCAATAAATAAAAAAAAATCAGCCGGGCGTGGTAG